TAGATAGATAGATAGATAGATAGATAGATAGATAGATAGATAGATAGGGTCCCACTAGATATTGTTAGAGAATGAACTTGGGAGGAGTTAGGTGTTAATATGATCAAAATATGTTATATGAAATTACCAAAGAATTATAAAACTAGGTCTGAAAAAGTCCACCATCTGCCTCCCTCAAAAGGTAGAGCCTAGTCCACCTCCTCCCGAGTGTGTGCTATGCCTACCGACTTCCTTCTGAAAGAAAATATAAGAATAGACTTGGTTCAAATTTCAAGGCTGGGCCATCAAAAACAGTTGGGACTTTCTTCTTTGCCTTGAGTTGCATGTTCTGGGGGGAAGTTCGCCAGCTTGGCTGCCCTGGATTCCTATGCCTTGGAAACTGAGCACATTTGTTGAGTGCTGGTTTATCCCAGAGCTCTGAGGCTAAGCTTTGGGGTCATTTGTTATAAAGCTATAGATAACAGATGTACTCCCAGACAGTGCTGAATTAGAGAAAAACCAGACACAAATAAATTAACTTGGAAAAACAACATGCATGAATGCACAATTCACTTCCTATGGCTTCTGTTCAAAATAGCAAGCAGCCCCCCTGTCACATAGCAGAGGGGTAAGTGGGACTTGTAATCAATACGCCCAGATGGTGTACACATCCTCACTCGGAGAGGTCGTGTTTCCAGGGCTCGTCTGTTCTGAGGAACTCTGAAGGTCTGGGGAGAGACTGACTGCTGGGTGCAGCCCTGTTGGGGGCAAGAGGAGAATCAGGAAGCAGAGCAGTGCTGAGGGGTGGTACAGCGTGAGATGGGGGTCCCCGAGCACTCTGTGTTTAGTGTCTACTTCACAGGCTGGGTGAAGCTTTTGCTCTCCCACATACAGCCTGGATGCTGACATTCCAACCCAGCTCTGTCTTGGACAATGGCCCATGACTACAGCAAGCCCCACGTCTTCTCAGGTCCTCAATTTCCCCACCTATAAAAGAGAGCTGGTGAGATTTTTGGGGATTTTCAGCCCAGCCCAGGCCTCCAGAGGCTGCTCCCCACCCTTGCCAGGCGTTGGGCAGTTTTGGGCAGGAGCAGAACATTGCCTGGAGATAAGGGGAAGCACTGAGTAAACAAACTGGTTGCCTCAGCATCCATGTCACCCCGGGTAGAATGCCCCAAGTCCCTTTCTTTGGCCGTAAAAGGAGAAAGAAGGAGAGTCTCTCAACACAGGTTACAGTTCCAAGGACTGAGGCAAACACTGTGGCCTTCAAGGACCTCGATGATGAACCAAAGAGGAGGGATAAATCAACGGAACTTGTCACCTCTTCCTGGTCCCTCCCTCTTACCCAGGCCACCATGAGAAGACAACTGTTTGTCCAGGGTTCCTGGGACACAGCATAGCACACACACAGCCCTTCCCTGAGCCTGAGCCAGTGAGGCCTCCAACCTGAAGCCTGTCTTCCTCCTCTCACCCCTTTCTCACCAGGCCCTATTCCAGCCTGAGGACCCCAGTTAGGAAGGAGTGCCACCCAAAGGCCAGAAGGCTTGGTTGTAGCTTCGGCTGGCCTCCTAACCTCAGCCTTCCCTTCACTCCTGATCATTCCTGTCCAGCCAATGGCCATCTTGCCAGAGCAGAGCCTACAGGCTTACCCACAAGGACCTCTGTTTCTTAATCCCCACAGGCTTCTTCTGGGCCCCCAAGCTGGATGAGCTCCAAGCTCACTTTTCTTTTCTTCTGGGTGCCCCCACTTCTTTTTTTCCCATTTAAAACATTTTCCACTCTCTGGCTTTATTCTGAGACTTTCTTCTTCCTGACAACTTCCCTGACCAGTTTTTGACTATGATTGCTCCATCAACTGGCTCTCACCCACCCCTATCTGGTACAGAAGCACCTTGTACGAAGGTCATTTTTGTACCCGTCTCTCCTCCTACCCAGTGTGGCTATCTAAGAGGGCTCAACTGGAGCCTCATTTTAACAGAGGCCAGCATGCCCAGGGGGACAAAATGGAAGAGAAAGGCCAGAGTAGGTTCACAAAAACCACAGTTTTTTCAAGAATGCCATAGGCACAGTGTGTGGGCTTCAAAGTCATACAGAGCTGAGTTAGGATCTTCCTCTGTTCGTGTGTGACCTTAGGCAAGTGACGTAGTCCTGGTGACACTTACAGTCACTTACGGGTGAGCATTGCATGAGAACAGGGACATAGAGCAGCCAGTGTGCTCCCCGTCAGCACTCACTCACCTTCTGGGTAGTGAGTGAGACTCCCAGACAACCTGCACAGCAATCCTAAGTTACCGATGATGTCAGATCTGTAATCCCCTTAGGAGGAGAGCCACTAATGTTCCTCATTTACAAGAGGGGAAACTGAGGCTGAGGCAGCGAATGTTCTTATGCTAGAGTGTTTGGCCAGGGTGAAGCCAATGATTAGCACAAGCTGTCTCCTGGGTCCTGGGGCGAAGGTGGAACGTAGCTGAACAGAGAAGCCTGATGTCAGCTACCACTTCAGTGACCAAGTCTGTTGTTCCAACCATCGTTAGCTAATGGTCTGCCCCGAGAGTCAGGTTTCAGCTGATGCTGTGTAGACCCTGACTCCTTCCTGGCCAGGACAGAAGGCATATAAATAGCCAAACTAGGGGTGGGGGTGCTGATGCAGGCTGTGATCCATCTGCTCTGCCTTTCTCGTCTGCAGAGGATCAGAGTCAGCAACGGCCACAGGACAAGGCAGAGATGGGCAGGGTCAATGTAGCTTCAAGGACACCAGCATATGAGAGATGCTCAGTGCATCCCAGCAGCAAGTTCACATGACAAGACTGCCGGCTCATGCGGCTCTTTATTTAAATTAGCAATGTGCTCTCTCTGTAGAGTAAGCTTGCAGAGCTTTGCTCTGGGCCCCTCTCACCGTGCAGGGAACAGTATACATAACCATCCAGGGCACGTTTGCTTACCCTGAAGCCCAGGTCCCAGGTTGGGCACTAGGATAAGGAGATGACCCGGGCACAGCACTATCTCTGAGAAGCTCCTGGGGAAGCTGAAGGACAGGGGAACTACAGAGGGAGCACCTATTTTTCTCTGGATAGAAAGGCTTAGAGGAGATAGGGAGGCTAAGAGGGAAGGTAGAGGTGTGATGGCTCTAAATAAAGAAGGAGGGAGAGGAAAGAAAGAAGGGAGGGAGGGAAGGTGTATGTAGCATCTGCCACTTCCCAGAGCCTTCCACACTCCTGCTTGCCAGGGCTGTTCGAGGCTGACCTGGCAAGTACTGAGGTGCAGCCAGGCAGAGATGAACACATTGCCCTCTATTCTGGTCCAGGATGCTTTAGCACCTTCTGCAAGGCACAAAGTCGCCTGAAGCAAGAGGTCTTTCTAGGCGGGGAATGGGCACGTGAGCATAGGATGTTGCAGAAGTCTAAGGCCTGGGAGCAGGGACAGGGGCAGCAGCAAACTGGGAAGTTTCCAAAAGCTATGGCTAAGATGAGGCGGCCTGAGGCCTCTGGAGGCTGGTGACACTTAGTTCTGCCTGAGACAGTGTCATGAGCCTGTTGTAATTAATCTATACATTTAAGTTCTAAGCACTTTCTATCTGCCACGTTTTACAATAAGAGTTACTTATGGTCTTGCTTGGGCACAATAATTTCACAGTGTTGCCTTCTGTTATGGTTTATATATGTTTGGTCCAGGGAGTGGCACTACCAGAAGGTGTGGCCTTGTTGGAGTAGGTGTGTCACTGTGGGTGTGAGCTTTTTCTTTTTCTTTTTCCTTTGGTTTGGTTTTTTTCGAGACAGGGTTTCTCTGTATAGCCCTGGCTGTCCTGGAACTCACTCTGTAGACCAGGCTAGCCTTGAACTCAGAAATCCGCCTGCCTCTGCCTCCCAAGTGCTGGGATTAAAGGTGTGCGCCACCACTGCCTGGCCGGGTGTGAGCTTTAAGACCCTCATCCTAGCTGCCTGGAAGCCAGTATTCTGCTAGCAGCCTTCAGATGAAGATGTAGAACTCTCAGCTCCTCTTGCACCATGCCTGCCTGGATGCTGCCATGCTCCCACCTTGATGATAATGGACTGAATCTCTGAACCTGTAAGGCAGCTCCAATTAAACCATGTCCTTTATAAGAGTTGCCTTGGTCACAGTGTCTGTTCACAGCAGTAAAACCCTACCTAAGGCACCTTCCAATCTCTCCTTGTACACATACTCAGCTGCTCAGTAGCATTTCTCCTGCAGAGAAAATCCCTGAGTTCCCCACCTATAAAAAAGATAGTGACTTAGTCTAGGAAGCAATGTGCAGTAGTGGATGGAGTGGACTCAGGAGTTGGGAGATGTGGATGCCAATCTTCCCTCTTAAGTGCTGAGTTACCCTTTCTCAGCCTCTTTCAGCAGAGGCTGACCACACCTCTGGGAATGGTGTGAAGATCAGAGATGGGCACACAAGAGCACTGAGACCCCCCTACAGGGTGGGGCTAGTGAAGATAAGAGCCGAGGGGCACACTGTAGCACTGAGCTGCCCACCTCCACAGCAACCCACAGCTGCCTAACATCCAACCTGTTGCCATGTGCTATTCTGGTTATTCACTTTCTCTTAGACAACCAAGACCAAAAGAGTTGCCCCAGAAGGAATGACTAAACCACAGAACTCAGAGAAGCAGGAGCTAGCTCCACAGGATAGAGACAGAGCTACTCAGAGAGGAGGTACAACGGGGAAGAGACTTAAAAGCCACATCAAATGGAAAGACTGAGGGAAAGGGATGCTCCCGGTGAAGAGCCCCATGGTTTGTCGGGTCTGTGTACTCCATGTCTCGGATTCCTCAACAGAATAGCTGAGGCAGCATGCAGGGCTTGGAAGGAAGATTGTTCATTCTGAGTCTAAGAGAGGACATTCTCAAAGCCAAGACATAAGGCTGGTGCTGAGGAGAGCCCCATCACTAGGGGACACAAAGAAGTTGGCAGAGCACATGGCTAGAAAGAAGGCAGTGTGATGGAGGGTCTGGACAGGAACATGGTGGGCTCTAGGGCGTCTATCACCAGAGTCCTCTGCTCTGCCTAGCAACATGTGGGCAGGTTCCCCACTACCCTGTGTGGGGAATGGCACGAGCAGACCAGTGCCCAACTCACCTGGTTATCGATTTTCAGTTCGACCAGAGAAGTGTTGTGGGGGAGAGCTTCCACCAGGCGCAGGATCCCAGCTCCAGAGATGAAGTTCGACTCCACATTCAGTGTCTTCAACACCTTGTTCACCTTCAGCATTTCAGCAAGGGCCTTGACGACAAGAGAAAAGTGGGGCCTTGTGAGTTACCTTAGGCAAGGGTTGAGTAGATCCATAAACACACCAAGGGGCTTGACCAGACATTCCTAGGCACTACCTTTCTAAGCACATCTCTGTCTCTGCTCTCCTGCAACCTGCCATGGCTCCCAAACACCGCTGCTGGAGAATATTCATCAGCACTCTGAGCCTCTGGACCTGCTTTTCCTCCCCCAGGCCTCCTTGGCTCTTTGGGTGTACTGCATCTACTCAGTGTCTTCCCTGCCCTGCTTCATTGACCATTTGGAATGTTCTATTCACTTGTCAAGCCTAGTTCATCCTTCAAGGCCTTTCTCAATGCCTCTCCCTCCAAGAGCTTTGTTGATGTCTCCAGCTACCCAGAGTCTGCTCTCTGGAACCTCACAGAACTTACCTACAATTCCTTCATGGAACCTACATTCCTCAAATCCCTGGTTGTTGTTGTTATGTGTGCCTGCATGTTCACTGATATGCAGTCATGTGTATGTATTCATATCTATGTGTTTGTATGTTCACTAATATGCAGGTATATGTGTGCGCATGTGCAAGTGGCAGTCAGAAGACAACTTCAATGTCGTCTTCATAAATGTCATCTTCTTCCCTTGAGACAGTCTCTCTCATTGGCCTGGAGCTCATCAGCCAGTCTAGACCGGCTGGTGAGAGGACCTCAGAGATGGTCCTGTGCCCACCTCCCCAGCACTGAGATTACAAGTGAACCACCTGGACCAGCTTTTTACATGGTGCTTGGGATCTGGCTCGGGTTCTTGTGTTCCTAAAGCAAGCACCTTACCAACTGAGCTATCTCCACGGTGTTCCCAACACCCTCCCATGTTTCTCACCGGTGTGCTTCCACCACTAGACTATCTAGTTTTGTGGGCTGAAAATGCACCTTAATGTCTGTTTTTTTTACCACACATAGTAGGTCACCATCAAGCAGTAACCACTGTGGCCCCTGGGGAGTTTCCATGTCCCCTTGTGTATGCTCAGCTTGTTTTCTCTATGGCCCTGTTGAAATGTTACATGGTCTTCCTCTGAGCCCCAGAGAGTACAGGGCCAGCTTACAGAGTAGGGCTCAGATGGCCCTCAGCACGTTTGAGAGGGAGCTAGCTGGGGTGTGGGTGTGGGTGTAGATGACAATCGGAGCCTCTGAAGGAAATGAGGTAATTAGCAGCTGGTGCAAACGATGTGTCATGGGGGAAAACGATACCAGCAGCTGAGAGGCCTGGGACACTGTGATCACTGTGCCAGGGTGTCAGAAGTGATGCCGGGAACGGCTGCCCTATTGTGCTCCCTCGGCTTCCCGAGCCCTGCCAGAGGCCCAACTCCCAGGAAGCCTTCATGCTGAAAGTATCTCTCCTTCTTTGGCTCCCTCATTCGAGCATGCCCAGAGGTGGTGTGTCAGCTTCTCTATGACCAATGGTTGTCTCCCAATCTGTGTAAGGTGACCTCTCTGAGCCTCACCAGCAATATCCCCACTCCCAGGAAAAGCCTGGCCTGACCATCAACTAACTCTGACAACCAGCAGACGAGTGTACCAGGCCTTGTGCAGGCTGATAACTGGACAAGCCCTGGAGTCTGGTTGTACCATGTGTCAGATTCTGTGTGTTGAGTTGAAATAGAGGAACAGAGGGTAGGAGATATGCACCAAGGCAGACATTGGGGGGGAGGGAGACTTGCAGGGCTCTGGCACCTGGTCAAACAACAGGCCAGAAACATTTCAGCACTTGGTAATAAGTATGCAGGTATGCAGGGCCTGCCACCAGCTGTTGGCCTGGCATGGAGTCCGTGCCCCCAAACCTTCCATGGCATGGAGCTGAGTGCCAGCATGCTGAGCTTGGTTTCTGAACCATGAACAAGTAGTACACAGGGTTTTGCCAGCTATGTCACTACGGACAAACGCAGGATCCGCTGAGGTCAGCCAGAGCTCATGGATCTAGACATTCCCACACTGGCAGTCTGTGAGCTGCCTGTGCCCCCCACTGTGAGCCTATTCAGTTATTACAAAAATACTGAAGTGAACAGTCTTACGTATTTTAAAATTGGAAAGAGATCTGATTGTTACTCCATTTCCTATCCCTCTTGGAAATCTAATTCCTGCATCTCCTCCTGCATCTCCCCCTGCTCCCAGTGGCAGAGCAGCCACCCTGTGCTGTACTGTTTGGCTGTCTTCAAGGCCAGACAGATGGGTGTGATCATGAATGTGGGATATGAGGCTGATTGCAGTCAGATTCCCAGAATCTAATTCAGTATTATGCATAGACCATTAAGAAATTTTTACTGGACATTTTAAAAAATTAATGGTTACTTTATAATAAGTACTTTTTACTTTGTAACATGGTTTCTTCATTTGTTTGTTTGTTGAGAGCCTCATATAACCCAGGCTGGCCTCAAGCTTCAATCCTCCTGCCTCCACCTCCCAAATGCTGCTATTAAAGGTATGACCATCATCATACTTGGCTGACTGGCAGGATTTTTAGAGACACTGATAAAAGTAAAATTGGTCCCTTGGATTCATTAATGAGGACAATGTTTGAGAGATGGAGAAACTGAGTTCCTGAGAAGGGGCTGAGCTTTGCCTAAATGTTGGGTGGAGGAGGACCAGCTGTGGAGGTCAATGTGACTTTGTTCGATGCCAGGTCTGCTTTTCTCTTTTTGTGTGACTTTGGACAAGGCCAGTTGTGTAACCTCCCCGGGAGACCCATCTTACCGAGAGCAGGGTGGTTGCAAGGATTAGCTGGGGTGAGCACAGGGCATTGTGTGGGGGCTGTCCCATCTGTCTGTACCCCCTCCTGGCTCCTAGCTGAGTCTCTTCCCTCACCACACAGAACTCTTCATCAGTAGGACCAGACCCAAGTTCCCAGTGACTGACTACACAGCAGAACAGAGAGGTCAGAACATACAAACGCCACAGGGTCATTGCTGCGGGTCCCCACGATGCTGAACTTCTTCACGTAGGAGTTCTCTTTCAGGGCTTCCGCATATGCCTTGAGCGTGGGTATGGGAATATTCTGTAGAGAGAAAGGCAGAAAAGTGAACAGCAGCCCTGCATGGGCCAGGCTGAACTGCAGGAGGGAGGGAACAGTAGCTCTGTCCCAAATGCAGCCTGGCTCCCTGCTGAGCCCTAGCAAGTCTCTGAATGGGCCATGTGCCAGAGGATGAAACTCAGAGGATCCTCCAGTGTATGGATTGATAAAAGCACCCCTGAAATACTCAGACAGGACCCACTGTGCTCTCCCATGCATGGGGAGGCTGGAGGAGAGGCAGCACTCAGGGTCTGGAGCCGGTAGGAATGTTGTTCAAAAGGTTTAGGACTGGGAGAAGGATGGGGCTGAACTCTGGCTTCCACTTAGTGACTTGCAGTATCTGACATGCTGTGTGACACTGGGGGACTCTCTTCCCTTCTTTGGGTCTTTTCTGAAAGAAAGAATGGAAAGATACATTGACTTCTGTCTGAGACATCTGTCCCAAAGGGTCTCAGCACTGGCTGCATGTCCGTGGGTCCTGGGGGCAGTTTATCACAGTTATGTGTGGGCCAGCCCCAGACTATCACACACAGAACCCCAGGGAGGCCTGGACTGTGGCGTATGCTTTTTACTCTCTTGGGTGAAAACCTTATCTGTGTACAACTGCCTCTTGGTACAAAAGGGAAACTGAGGCCTGAGGTGTTGAAGCCCTTGGCCAAGGCCTCCTATTGAGCTTTCACTACTTGTGCCTGCTTGTCTTGATGCAGTATTAACTGTCTAGGACATACAAGGATTGTGTCAGCATCTCTCACATGGCAGACAATGGAGGCACAGAGACAGAGAGAGACAGAGAAGCCATGGCTATGTTTTCCCAGAGCTCCCATTTCAAAGTGTCACCTAAGCCCCCGTGGGAGCAGAACATGGAGCCAGGTGGAGGAGAAAACTGGGGTACAGGTTTCCAATCTGATTGTACTTGGAACTGGCAGCCACTGAGGAAAGCTGAGAAGAAAGGAGGGGGCCCGGCTTCTTGTCTTACCCTTCTTACAGCTAATCCCAGGGCCTCAAACAGAGCAAGTGGGCAGGCAGCTCTGCCTGCTTCCACATTCCTCCTGCACCCTGCCCTGGTGGCCACAGAGGAAAGCGGCCACAGAGTTACAGCACACAGCTTGGGTCTTTGTTGGGGTACCTATGCCTTCCCTGACTGTAAAATCAGTTTGAATATAAGCAAGATCCAGAGGGAACAGTGATGTCTCAGGGGTAGCGGGGTTTATGATCCCCGAGTCTTTGTAGCACAGGGCTTTGCCAGCCTTGAAGTCCCGTGCTGTAGTGTGGTTCTGACTCACAGTTTTACCACAGAGAATCTCTGTGCTTTTGAACAGTGTGGCAGGTGTCCAGATCAAGGCCTGCTTGGCCTGTTGTAGACTTCTGAGCCTGGAATTGTCCTCGGAGAGAAACCAGGACTGAGAGATTTGCCTGTTGACATTGGTCACCCCTGAAATACTCCCATCAGTAAAGGCTTTTCTTTATTCCTGATCTAGAAATACCCAGGTCCAGATATACTTGGACTTGATGATCTATATTGCCTGGACTGCTGGCATCAGTATGCCAAGACATAACCCCCAAACCCCCAAACTGAAAACCCTTACCCCCAATACCCATGAAGTGAAATGGCAGGACTTTACCCGGATGTTGTTAAGATTAACCTCTTCAAGTTCTGGGTCATTGTTCTTTATCCGCTCCAGCGTTTCCTCTACATCTGTTGAATTCGGTTCTTCATCAGGCACAGGCTTGTATTGTGTGGGTTTGATCACACCTACGGTGAAGAATAAAAAGGAGCCGGCTCACAGAAACATAGGGGTCACTTTCTCCCAACATAAGGACTCCCTGAGGGGAAGCATTGGTTGAACTCAGGGTACAAGGGAGACAGCACATTACAGGGGGTACCAGGGGCTGTGATGTGTTGGAAGAAGTCAAGGAGGAATCCAGGAGGTTTGGGCTATCCCTGGATGCTGCATTTGAGTTCTTACAAGACCTGGCGAATTAGTTAAACCTCCTGACTCTCAAGTGTCTGTCTGGGGGTGGGGGGATGGTATTACACCACGTTCATCATCTCCAGTGGGATCCCAGGAGGGTAAGCTGAGGCCTGGGCTGGAAAGAAATGCAGTTCCCTTCCAAGAGGAAAGATACATATTCCTTTGGCACCCTGATTTCCCTTTGGTCCCAAAATGTCATCTTAGAACAATGAAGTTGAATAATTGAGACAATGTGACATGGGCCCAGGAAAAGCCAGAATGTCTCAGGGGACAGAAGAGAGAGAAATTGAAGGAAAGACAGAGTCCCACAGAGTACTTAAGAACACATTTTCCAAAGAATACTGTGAGAAAAAAAATAGAAATCTATCAAACATTTTAACTAAGTGCTTGTTTCACAAGCATGAGGACCTAAGTTCCACTCTCAAGAAGCCATGTTTAAACGGTAAAAGGAATCTGGGTGCAGCAGTCTGGCCTAGAGTTACAGAACTAGGAAGGTGGGGACAGGGATATCCCAGGAGCTCACTGGCCAGCCAGTCTAGCCAAGACAGTTGACTTCAAGGTTCACTGAGAGACTGTCTCAAGAAATAAGGTGTAAAGCAACCAAGGAAGACACTGACCTCTGGCTCCCACAAGTAAACACACACCCACACACACCCACACACACCAAATGGAGTTGAATCTCATCCCATTGCACCTAAAATATCCATTCTGGAAGGATTAAGACATTGAATAAAAGAAGCAAATCTCTAAAACCTTTAGAAGAAAACGTGACATTGAGAGGAAGAAGGCTTTGATAATGAGACATAAAACCCCAGCAGAATCAGAGGACAAGATAAAGAGATTTGCCTATGTAAGATGTGCAGTGGGCCAGAGTATCAGGAGCACTGCAGCAAGAGGCAGGAGGAGGCGTCTCTCTCTCAAGGTGCCCTGTGCAAGCCAGTCTTGGGCCCGGCAAGGGAGGGGGAAGACAGTCAAGCAGGGCTGTGTATACTCACTGTTGAGGCCCTCCTTGTTCACGATGGAGCTGCTGCCCAAGGCTTGGTAGTACTGCTGGTTGCTCATGAGTGTGTGCATGCCCAGGATAGCTGTGGGGATAAAGGAGGTCCATGACTCTGTTCTTGCAGTCAGAGCTACCTCCCGGGACCCATCTTCCACATGTTGGGAGCTTTGCTCACAGAAATGGTAAGAAACATGTACGCAAAAATGTAAAAGTGTGGGTGTTTTTTTCATCCTAGCTTTCATTCATGTGATTCTCAGACACCCAACCTCCCCAGACCTCTCTTTGATAGTGGCCACAGATTTCTAGATCTCCTTGAGGTCCAATGGGCACACCCACTCAACACAACTCAACAGAACGAGTCTTTCTAGCAAGCATCTTTTCCAAGGAGAGCACATCCGTCTTCTACCCAGTCTCTCAGACCCTTTTGACCCCCTTTTGAAGTCTCTCAGGTCCTCCCAACTCTCTTGCCAGTACCTCTGCCCTGGTTGAACATCTATTCTTTTCTGGCTGCCATCAACTTACAATGGTCCCATTATAATCGTTCAGCTTGGTGATGCTATTGAAAGCAATACATGGTCAGTAGGAACTGTACTTTGATTTACATCTTTATATTTTCTAGGCTGGAGGCATCTGATAAGAGACTCAAGATTCTAGATCAGGTCAGTGAACCTGAGCTCAGTCAATCTACCATCACCAGGAGAAAACAAAACCAACATGGCGGCACCCTCAGTCAGGCATGCTGTTGTGTTCAGCCAGGCATTAAATGCATCTTGATTTATGATATTTCCAACTTAGGGTGGGGGCCGTCAGGCCATTACCCCATCGTTACAGGAGAGACATCTGCATTAATAGAGATGCGTTACCATGACTTTGGTTTCTTCCTGCTGTCTACTTCCCAACATTCAGCATAGAACAGCCAGAACAATCTTTCTGGAGATGCCAATACAGCTTCATCACTGTACACTATTCTTTCACTCATCCATTTCTTTGGCATCTGCTGAGCGCCTTTGTTGTGTACCAGCCCTGAGGGACTGAACTATGAAAGGCAGGAGGTCTTCTTCCCATGGAGCCTGCAACTTCATGGGAGTAAGCAGAGCTGAGCAAGGGCCGACTGTTAAAACCCTAACAAGCTTGGCGGGGGGGGGCAAGGATTGGAAGAACATCCTGGAAAAGCACAATGTGGGACTTGGAAGGGAAGGATGACCAATTGTTGGCCAAGTCAAGGGAAGGGAGAAAGAACATTCAAGGCAGTGAGGATGGTGGGTGGTGGTGGGTGATGAAGAACAGAAGCAGACTGACAGGGAAGAGAAACAGGGTTGTCTTGGACAGGTGGTGGGACAACAAGATGACCCGCCACAGTAGGACATGCTGTGGGCCAGAAAAGACCTTTGGGACCATGATAATCCCTTAGCATAAATATGCCTTGTTCAATGTTTGAGATAAATTATTCAAAACTTGTAGGCCTTTTTTCAAGTCTGGAAGTCGAGCCCAGGAGCTTATACCATGCTTGGTAAGTGCTCTACTACTGAGATACTTATTTTGAGATAAGATCTCACTCCATTGCCCAGGCTGCCCTTATGTAGCCAAAGCTGACTTTGAACTTTGATGCTCCTGGCTCAGCCTCCTAAAGAGCTGACATTACAAAGCCTGTTTATTTAAAACTCAAACTCAACTGGATAATCTATATTTTATTTAACTCTCCTATCTCCACTATTTCAAGACTTGGTACAACTCTTCATCCTCCACGGAGCCTTCCTAGATTCCTCCCCTCTCTCAGTACCTAGTATTCTTTCTATGCCACAGTGAACCTCAGTACAAAGGAGGTGCCAGGACACCCATGTGCTTTCTCTGCTGGGCTGTGGGCTTCTAGAGGTCTAGGAGGAATATTACAACTCTTCAATTTATTCTGGACTAGAGTAGGTATTTGCTAAATATTTGGTGATTTTCCCATTTCAGTAGATGTTTTCTAGGTAGAAGGAGACTAGGACAGGCCTTAAAGAAGACGCAGGGGATCAAGTTCTGGTCCTGACCGTGTCCTCTGTGCCATCCCCTGACTGGCCTTTGGTCTCCTATGTCCAGCCAGGGTGATTTAAGATCCCCAATCACAGCTGTATATGCAGACCATGGGGGTGGGGGGCTGTAAAACAGTATCAATGTCCCGGACTGAGGGGTACAATTTCTTTGGATTGTTTTTACTTTTCCTTTGTGTGTGTGTGTGATAGGGTGTTGCTATGTAGCCCAGGTTGACTTTGAACTCACGATCCTCCTGCCTCAACCTCTCAAGTGTTGGGATTACAGGAGTGCCCAACAATGCCAGGTTCCTTGAGGTGATTTTGGTGCCCCAATGGGAACTGAGAACCAGAAGATGAGATGATCTCAAAGTCCCTTCTGTTTCTCTCCCCTAGGAATCTTCTCAGCTAAAATTAGCCTTGCCGGCTCATCGGCTCATCTCTGTGAAGGGCTGGGGGAGAGAGAGGCAGCTGCTGCCTTTGCAGCTCTCGAGGTTTTAATTTAGGCTGTGTCCCTGTGGGCTGAGGTGGGTGGGGGCTGAGTCAGCAGCAGGTGAGTCACATCTCTCGAGGCAGTCTTCCAGAGAGGTGCTCCTGCCCACCCCACCCCCACAGCACAGCTGTCAGGTTTGCCAAGGTTGGGATCATATCAAATACATGTTGCTTTTTGTTTTGTTTTGTGTTTTGGTTTTTTTTAAATGCCTGTTTTTGACTCAGAGCACACACAGAGAGGTAAGGAAATAAATAAATAAATGCAAAAATGGAAACCATATTTGGTGCTTGAACTGCAGCATCTTGTAATGTGATGTCAGACAGAGGCACGGAAGTGTGTGAGGGACCAAGAGCAAAGAGCCGTGGGTTGTTACTTTTTTTTTTTTTTTTTTGGTGACCTTGTAGAGGTCATTTCGTCTTTGAGATCCCTGGGTTTCGAATCCGTAAAGCAGTGTGTGCTCGAATGCCGAAACATTACCTTCCCGTGGGACTCAGCAGTCGCTCAGCGATTCTTACATTTTTAGCCTTCTTCGGTGTTCTAGAATAAGCGTCCTGGTGGGGCTGTCAAACGCCCTCCCACACTTAACAAGGACCTGGTTTGATAAGCGGCTCTGTAGAGATGCTCCTGGTACATGAGGCAGTGAGTTCTGTGTCTACTGGGCCACTGAGAGTTCTAAAGTCTACCACAGCTCCTCATCTGGAGAATTCTAGGACTAATAGTGAGACGGAGAGATGGTTGGTATGTGCTGATAGCAGGCTGAAGGAGGAAGGGCACCACTTGGCAGATCAGAGGAAATTTGGGTTCCTGAAAGGAAGGAAAAGTGGGAGCGGGAAGAGCATGGTTCCAATGTAATGGTCACTACCAGCCCAGTGGCCCGAGGCACACAGTTGTGGCTCTTTCTAGCTTATTCTTGCATCACCAGGAGTGAGTGATGCAAAGAAAATCCTGATGTCTCCTGTTGCTTCCTTCTCCTCAGCCAAGTGTTAGCATCAGGGATCTTGATTTTTTTTTCTTTTTCTTTTTTCCCTTTCCTTTTTTTTTTTTTTAAAAAAGTAGATCTTCCTCAAAACTCGAAAAGGACTATTTTTGAACTCTTAAAAAAGAACATTGAGTTCTGTTTCCTCGTTCTGCCTTGGCAGGGCTCCTTCTGTTTGTAAGTCCACTCAGAATGCAGTGTGATCCCAGCACTCATCCTCGGCTTCTCCAGCTGTTGTGGGCGTGAGCAGTCCTGGGTGGAGTGTGGGCTGAGAGCTGTGTTCTCACATCCTAGGTACAGGCGCTGAAGCTCGCTCTGGCCTGGAACCTGGGTGCTGGCAAACTGTTCCAAGATGAGGCACATCCCCTGACAGTCTCAGAATCAGAGTATGGGTGCTTAAAGACATGGGAGCCACCAACAACCTGGGGATAGTATATACCTGGCCCACTGTCCTTGGGAGGTGGATGCTCTCTCCACAGGGTGGGAAGGGTGGGGCTCCTTTCCTTATTCCTGCCCTAATGCAAGGGTTTCGAAAGCCTAGCTAGGACAAAACCCTTGAGTGAGTCTAGGAGACGTTGATAATCTCAAGAGTTTGTAGCTGATTCCCAGTGGCCAGTAAGCTAAAATCATAGGCCACAGGCCAAGACCTTTCCATCACCAGAGTCTGCTCTGCGTAGCAGAACTCACGTTTAAGAAGTCACATACTTTGGCCTGTTCTCCTATGTATCTCTGGGGCCCTCAAGGGCAAAGAATGGAATTCATTTGTCCTAGCACAAGATGGGTGTTCCATAATGTACATCAACTCAGTGAGTTTGTGTGTGGAGTGACAACAGTGTACCTCTCTCCTGTCACCTCTTGGTCAGTGGATCACACATTCTGTGGCCTCCTACAGGCTCCTGGCATTTCCAGGGATTGAGGCTGCTACATAGGCACCTCCCTGACCTGGACAGGAGCTCCCACTGTGCCTGAATGTCCCTCTCCCTAGATCATCCCTACATGTTTGACTTTGTCTTCCAGGTCTTTCTTTATTTCCCGTGAACCTATCATTTAATCCAAGCGCCTCTCTTGCCTTGTTCCTGTCCCACTCAGTGACACTCCTACTCGCCATGTCTCCGTGGCCTGTGTAGCACGGCTCCATGAGGACAGGCAGGGTGGTTTCCTCAGCATCTTAATTTTTTTTTTTCTTCACGAGCACCAAGTTCACAGCCTGGTACACAGTGGATAGGAAATCCAGGTAACTGGTATCGTGTGTGAGGGACCTAGTGAAGACCGGGTTCATGGAAACATCTTATGGGGAGAGCATGGAGACTAGAGGCAACCTGCAGACCCCTTATCTCCCTCTGTAGGCTTTAGAGTCCAACTATCCCTTCCTGGGCAAACTGCCACATTGTGGAGGGCTGGCCACACCAACACCTCTGTCCATGCAGGACAGCTTGCTTCCAACTGCCTGGTTCTGCTTTTTACCCAAGGCCAAAAGCGTGGCATCATCTAGCTCCTTGACTCTGTCCCAGCAGTAAGGACAACTGGTGTCTTGGTGTGAAATGGGGACAATAATAGAATTTACTTCATAGGATTTGTCACGATCAACAAACACAGTGCTGTGTGGAGAGCTACTTACACAGCACCTGGGACACGTTTGTCACCTAGCAAATGTTCCACTGCCACCTTGTAATGGCTGAAGTGGAATGACAGGCACAGAAGGACAGTCAGTTAACACGGGTGGACACACAGCCTCCTGCTCCTTCCCTGACATCACAGGGGCCCCGGGGATCTTAGACAGATCCTAACGGTCTGCCAACAACAACAAGGAAAATGTTTTCAAGAGCAGGTCCAGCCGCTCAGCTCAGCTGGGAGGGCTGCTCTGCTGTGGCTCACGCTGGGGCAGGAGCCTGCTCTGACAGCGGTCATTTACTAATCCCGCGTGCATGCCACAATTAGGGTGATGATGCTATGCAGGGACTCAGGAGGCCCCAGAGAAACAGAGACAGGCAGGGCAAGGAATCTACTCTCTCTAACCAGAAGTCAAGGGACATGTTGGGGAAGGTAGGTGAATGAAATATACAGGCACATAAGGATCTGGGAAGGCTCTGTTGACGTCTTACATGACCCTGAGCCTTGTGAGGCAAACCTGGCTCCTGAGCAGCGTGTCTAGGTTTCTGTTGGGACCAGTTGTCCCTTCAGTGCTGCTTAGAGTGACAACCATTCTCTGGACCCTGCTACCTTTGTCCTTCCCAGTTTCTTTCTGTTGGGGCAAGGGCTGTCTGGACTAAGAGGCTACCTGCCTGCACTCTCTGATCTCCCTGCAATCTGGCTTTCACCTCCACCACCCACGGTCACTGCTAAGTACACAGCTTAAATCACTGTCCAACAGCATTGCTCACAGAGGAAAGTCACCAGCAGCCTCCTGCCTCAACAACACCAAGAGTCACACAGCATCCTGAGAGGCTGGCAGATTGGATGAAGCAAAGGCAGATGCAGCCTGGCCTGGCCTGGGCTCCACTGTCTCAGACAACATGAAACTGTTTCTTCCTCCTTGGCACTCTTATAGTCTGTCTGCCTGGTTTCTCACAGTCCTTTGATCCTTTGCCCCACTGGCTGGCTGATGGGCCCCATGCTAGGCCTGCCCCACTCCATTCCTGAACCCAGGCTCTGTCTGTCACATGTTCTTCCTGAAGCCTGGCCTCTTTGACCATGATCAAGTGAGACCCGCAGATAGCTAGTCTATCATGCATGGCTACTTCCATCTGGGTGGCCGCCCATGGATAACTCAGAGAGCATGTGCCCCAGACTGAACTCAGTATTTCCTCCACTGACCTCCTCCTTCATCAAAGACAGGGAACCCACTGGATCTCTGGGACCAACTTGCCTTTCTCCCTGCAGTATACCCACTGCCAGCTCGTCTCCGTCATCCCTCCCCTCTCCTAGCTCATCTCCGTCATCCCTTCCCTCTCCTATGCCAGTGGTTTGCAGTAATTCCCCCATACCACCCACTCACTGAGCCCGGGCACAGTGTGGGCAGAGGCAGGTGGGGTGCCGGGTACAGCCTGTAGTGAACCTCAGAGAGATGGGGTGCAGGGTGCATAGAGCAGGGCTCAGCTGTGGTAAGGAGAGTGGTGGTGGAGAGTCTGCAGTAGCAGGCTACACTCCAGGGTTTGGTTGGGAAGATGGTAAGGAAGCACCTATGAGGGTGGACAGGATGGGACAAATAAGAGGCATGGGTGTGACACACTCCAGGCACAGCTGTGTGTGCTCTAAGCCTTTTACAACATAGCTCAGGCAGAATTTGATGGGAATAGCTAGGACAGGGCTCTCACCCTGTCCCTCCCAGGCTACAATCCCATTCCTCTGGGGAGTAGTCTCATGACAACAAGTGGTTCTGTGACCAGGTGTTTGAATGGTTTATCTTTATTTCTTCATTTTGGTTTTTGAATACACATACACACACACACACACACACATTCATTCTCCTGTGATGTCTCTTACCTGCTATGTCACACAGTTCCGCATCCGAGGCATTTGCTAGGGCCTCCTCCAGTTCTGGCTCCAGTGTCACGCTCTCCAGCACGGGATCCATCGGCTTCTGCTTGGGAACCCAGATCTTTCCTGCAAACACACACAGGGTGCCCATCAGGGTGTGTGGCTACAGTGGGGCCTGAGATCCCTTTCACCAAAGGTTCTGACATGAGAGAAAAACTTATAAACATTCTTCAATAAAATAGGTAAAACACACACAGGTCATTAAGGGATAGAAGCGAGCAGAGTGCGTCCTAGTGAGGTGCTGTGCTTAACTGTGGGCGAGGGAGGCATGGGGCAGCTATCAGAGTGGCCACTGTGTGTCCACAAGGAGAGACTGTTCGTCTGTACCAAGGGATTCCAGAAGTCATTACAAAAGCTATGGAAGGGCCAGAGTCATGGCTCCGTGGTAAAGAGTGCCCAGTGCTCTTGCAGAGGACCCAAGTTCACTCTCAGCACCCACATCCCACAAATCAAAACTTCCTGGAACGCCAGTTCAGGGGACCCGATGCCCTCTTCTGGCTTTGGTGGACACCCAAATTCACACTCATACCCTTACTTAAACACACCATTCAAAATCAAAGAACCTTGCATTGGAAGTTCTAGTTAGAGTGGATGGGTGCGGATGAAAGACATGTGGACCGCAAACAGAAGAAGATGTTTCTGTTTACAGACAACATGCTCTTATATGGGGGAAAGTCTAAATTTCCATATTCCAAAATGAAAGAAAGATTTAATCAACCAATCAAGAAAACCCCTTTGCCCCTACCTACAAAACCCTGTTAGAACTAATAAATTCAATAACAGTTGAGACAAAGGCTAAAGGCAGTGGTATTTCTATATACAATAGAAATATGCAAATGCTATTAGGAAAGCAGTTCACAATAATAACCAAAGAATACAATACTTGGGAATAAAGTTTAAATACATGTACACCATAACTACAATGTATTGATGTTAAAACATGAAAAGAAAACAAAGAATAACTGAAAAAAATCTGACTTAATGGATTGGAAAGCTTTGTAGTATTAAGGCAGCAGTACCACAAAAAGCAACCTATAGATTCGACATGATCCCCATCACAGTCCCAGAAGTCTCCTTCACAGACCCAGAAAAGCAAAGGCACATAAATAACCAAAAGGATCCCCCAAAAGAGCCAAATCAGGAGCCTCATGCTCACCGATTTCAAAGCATAACCACCAAGCTGATGACAAGTCGGTATTTAAGGGTGGGCACAGCAAACAATAGAGTTGAGAGTCTAGAAATGAAGTCAAACACAGATGCCAAACTATTGCCAACAACACTCCATGTCTGTTCAGCAAGTGCTGGGCCACTAGATTTTCACATGTAGAAGAATGAAGTCTGGTGGATGCCTACCTCACACTGCATGCAAAAATGAAACCCAAATGGACCAGCAACCTATCAGAACTAAAACTGAAACATTTTAAAGAAAAGAAGAGCACAGTTAGACCAGCAGTGGAACCTTCCAATAGCCACAGGCAAACAAAGACATCATCTTGGACTTTGTCCACAATTGAAAGTCTCAAGGGATATGATCGAAAAAAGGGCAAAGCCAGTTTTTGGAATGATTAAAATGTTCATGGATCATATATCTGATAAATGTCTGGTATCAAAAATGGAGAAATGGGCTGGTGAGATAACTCAGCTGGAAAGGGCCCTGTCCCCAAACCTGACAAGCTGGGTTCAATCCATGGAACTTGCCCAGCAGAAGCAAAGAAGCAACTGCTGTTCTCTGACTTAGGCGCACGCACACGCACACACACACACACACACACACACACACACACGCAGGCATGCATATCATCACACAAATAAATACATGGAAAAAAATTTAAGAATACCGAAATAACTTTTACAGCTCATTAACAAAAAGCCAAATGGGCCAACTTAAAAATAGGCAAATTATTCAAGTAGACATCATACCAGATTAAGCTAGCTATGGGGGATTAAATTCTCAGTAAAGCCTGGGCTAACAGCATGAGATACCAGTTAGAGTTGGAGGGACTCTGGCCCTGGCCCCTCTGTAGAGATCTCTACTTATTTAACTCATAAGGATTTCAACTAACATTAATTACATTCTTTTAAAAAAGTATTATTTTGGCTGGACTACTTTGTTTTGGCTGAATGGGTGTTTGTGCACCACATGTATGCCCGGTACCCCTGGAGGTCAGAAGAGGGCATTGGATCCTCTGGAACTAGAGTTACGGACAGTTGTGAGTCACCATGTGGGTGCTGGGAATTGAACCTGGGTCCTCTGGAAGGAAAGCCAAGCCTCAACCTCTGAGTCTTCTCTCCAGCCCCAGTTACATCATTCTTGACAATGCTGATGGACCTTTCAGCTTGTTGCCGTATGGAAACAAACATTCTAGTTGTTTTTGCTGCTCCCTCAGGTCTGCTGCTGACTTTCTCACAGCCTCAGTTTCCCTAGCTTTAAAATGCCAGGTGAGACTATGGGAGTCAGAGAGCCCTGCCTATAGCACAAGTCCTTTGGTGAGAACACTACTAGAGCTCACATTCTTTGTTGGGTTCGTTCAGCAAACCTCCTTCCCATCATCACTGCCCCTCTCTCCAGAAGTATCAGCCTAGCATGCTTCCAAGTTTGGTGGTTCACTTGCTTCACTGAGTCTCTTGGACCTTCTAGTTTTCAGGAGAGCCTGAAATGGTTAGGATCCATAGGAACCCAGGGCCTGGGATGGTTGGAATCCCTCCACAGTGTCTGCCTCTTTGCACTTTCACCTCTTACCATTTATATTAGGCAGTCGCACAGCAACAGGTGTCGTGCTGACAGCAGCAGGGATACAGAGGAGACAGCTCTAGACACAGAGCCTGCTTCAGCATGCTTATGTTCTTGTGGGTAGGGACAGTGGGAAGGACTGAAGAGGGAATCAGCTGCATAGTTAATTAAAGCAAATGCTTTGATTCAATAAATATCCACGGGACACCTTTCATGTGCAAGGCGTTAGTCGGGTGCTGGGGGATGTGACAAGATACAGGGCACTCGTGAATCCTGTGCCAAAGCAGTGTGCCCCTGGAGTGATGCACATTCCTTACCTTTGCCTCATACTCAACCCATACACCGCTCATCCCTAGTGAAAGCTAGCCCCTGTACTAGCTGGGACCACTAGGTAGGCCATGTCCCTGCTCTCAAGGCCTAGCTTGAGAGGAAAAGATGATAAAGGGGAAGGTGCAGATAAAGACACACTCAGGTCTCTGAGATAGGAAATATCCAAGAGGGGAGTTGAGGGTGATGGTACATCTTATCAAAGGAGTTGCTGCCAATGTTTCTGAAAGAGGTCAGTATGGACAGAACGGATTAGTCATGACTAATGCTTCCATGATACTTGCTATGCGCCAGGGTGGGTGTAAGAGCTTTATATGCAAGTAGCAGGACCTGGGCTCTAGGTTATTTTCAACCACTGCATCTCCTGCTAGAGAAGGAGACACAGTCCTGAGGGCATAGATTCCTCTGAGGGCATCAGGGAGAGTATAATGTTCCTGTAGTAAAAAAATGCCTGTAGATTTTAAAGTTCAGAACTCAGACTTCTGGTCTACCCTATTCATTGTCCTTCTGCTCTACAGAGTCTGCAGACTACAGGGCAGAGAGTAGGGGGCATGGCATTCAAGTAGCTGATCTAAAAGGAAAGAGAGGACCTGAAGTGGAGTGTCATGAGATCTTTTATCCTTCCTGCCCTTGGAGACTTCTAGATAGCTTGTTGTTGTCAGGAACAGAGGATCTTGGAAGAAGAGATGAAGGAAGGATGTTACCACTGCCAGGAAAAGAAAGACTTTAGAGAAAGCAGAATTAGGACAGAGGGGTTTGGACTATGTACCTTTACCCTCATTTACATCAAATGGTCCTTGTTTAGGTCTCATGTTTTGATCCTATTAGTAAGAGTTTCCTCTTTCTCTCAAAAGTATCTAGATTTGAATGAAAAATAGCCAGTACAATCTAGTTAAAGGGGATTTGGGGAGACATTTTGGTTGTCTGAGTAAGTCTTTTTCCTCAGATTATCCCCCAACTAATTTAACACACATCACAGAAGATGTTTTGGGAACAGGGATGGTTTCCTGTTCAGATGGGAAGGACACAAGAGAGGCCCAGGTATATTTGGCCCAACACAGGGTGGGACACACAAGTGGTCCTCTGTGATGCCCCAGGAAGGACATGCTCATGAGATCCATGCTATTTAGTACCTCGTTTCTCCCCTGTGTAGGGAACCAGGTCTTCTCGGTCCTTAAATTCCTTCGCTTGCTTTTCCAAGTGGTCCAAAAGCTCCTCTCTTTTAAAGGGGCCTGTGGGTGCCTTGGTGGTCTGATCCTTCTGCCTCAGGCCTGCAGGGAGCAATGCGTTCTAAGATGGGGGTGGTGGGTAAGAAAGAGAGAGAGAGAGAAGGAGAAAGAGAGAGAAAGAGAAAGCAGTCAGCAGCTATAGGTATGCAATTCTCTAGAAACATAACACAGACTGGCAGGGCCTCAGAACTGGAGAATCCAGCCAAGTCTTTTCCTTTGCTATGCAAGGAACCTGAAAGCTGGAGAAGGGATGGGACTTGTCCCAGGTCACAGGCACTTATGGAACAGAGAGGAACTGTGGGGCTCAGTCCTCTGGTGCCCCTACCTGTAACACCTTTTAAACACGTGGGGTTAACCAACAGGGTAGCCAACACAGGCCAAGCATAGAGAGATTCTTGGAATTTGCTATTTGAGTGCAAAATTATATTTGCTACAGTGTGGTTAGTGATCAAAGAGAGAGGCCAAAGGGAGCTTGGTAGGGTCTTGGATAGAAGATGACTTATAGAGAAGGGAAACCCCCAACAAGCCTGAGAAAATCTCAACAGCAGTACAAAGTAGGCAAGGCACACTCAGCCCCCAGTCTCCATGGCCTAACAGACCTTTTGAATCTGGCGGGTCTGTGTTCATGAGAACTGATTGTTAAATATTCTGAACATTGCCTCTGGAGATGGATTTCTCAAGAATGATATTAACTCAATTACTGTGTTCTCCTCTTCAAATGTGGGCAGCTCACTAGCAAAGCAGATTCCTAGCTAGGGGGGGTTTCAACCATTTGAATTAGTTTCACCCTAAGTCAGCCCCTAGCATTTCAAGAATCAAAGACAATGATAGTTTCAAGGATGCTCAGGGACTATACAACCCTCTCTTCAAGAGAAAACTGAGGCCCAGAGCACAGAGTTCCCAAGGAGTTTTGGGGCTAGACCCAGAACAACCCCAGAGTATTCCCTCAGATGTAGGGAAGAGGCAGATTTCATTTCTAACTCTCATGCACACTGTGGCCCCTGGCATTCAGAGAACAAAAGGAGAGCCTCAGAGGCAGGTGTGCAATCTTTGCTGTACCCCTAAATTGACTAAATTTGTGCCACTCTTAAATCAAATATGGGTTCCCCTGAAGGGCTTATACCTTGTTACTCACAACATTCTCCAGATCCTTTCCTGAAGACCCCTTGTGGAGAGGATGAGAGACACATGGGACAGGCATGCCCACAGGGATGGAACTTGGAAGAGAGCTATCTGCTGTTTATGAAGTACTTCCCTACTGTCTGACACCTGCTGTTGTCTCAATAATAGTAGGGTGTGCCCCCACATTAGGTCACAAGGATCTACAAATTGCAAGGCTGGGGAATCAGGAGTTTCCCAGTGGGGGCTGGGATAGATGCAAAGGGATGTAGACCAGAGGCCAGCAGAGACATTTGGGAACTGGGGTGTTTTGTAAGAAGAGGACCAGTATGCAGAAAACCAAACTTGGGCTGATTTGGGGTCAAGGACAGGGACTATAAATGATGCCACAAGAGTCACAGCTCTCCTACAGCAGCAGTACCCAGACACTATTCACTGTGAAGAGCTAGAGAGATGGCACTCCCGGGGGAGCCACTTCTGCCGGCAGGTATAGGTCATATGCACTTCCTAAAACTAGATATGGGACTTACTCCTTCTATCCCATGGCAAGGGCTTCTTGCAGCATTGTGGTAAGGGTACACTTTACTGCCTACCGTGTCTGTCTATGGCTATCCATAGCGAGTGACCTATGCTAACTATTAGTGGGTGACAGACACAGCTACTTTGTGACAGGTCTACACTTCTCAGTTGAGGCTACATCAGGCCTAAGGCCTATCATGGACTAATGGTTGTACAACTGAATGGTGCATTAACCAAGCCCCCTGACCTCCATGTGCTATGGACAGAATGTGATGAATGACATGAGTGGTTGTCTCATCCAAATTTGGGGGAAAGTTAAAATTAGAAAATGTGAAATATTGCCCTGCACTGATCTATTAAATGCCCACACATGATAGCTTCCCACTCTTGTTCTGTCATCAGATAAGACACAGTTCAGCAAGAGGCCAGACACCCAAGATGTGGCTAACACAAAATAAGTTATCTGGATATGTTTTAAGAATCCAAGAAACCCAGACACACAAATATGAAATGAGTTAATTCCTGAAGCTAAGTGCCTGATAGTTGTCCCTTCAAGGGGCATAAAGGGAGTTTTCTCTCCACAAAGAATTTCATCATTCTTTATGGTTTATTTGCTTTGCTTCATTATTGTTTTTGCCTCCTCCTCCTCCTCCTCCCCCTCCTCCTCCTCCCCCTCCTCCTCCTCTTCCTCCCCTTCCTCTTCCTTTTCTTCTATTATTATTATTATTATTATTATTATTATTGCTATTGATATTTAAAGCAAGGTCTCATTCTGTAGCCAAGAGCTGTGTTTAGTCGTCACCCTTCAGCGTCCTCAGTGTTGTAATTACAAATGTGTGTTGCCCCACCGGGTACCACAGAGGATTTTGATGGCAGGAAGAGGCTGGAGCTTAGTATTGGGGTGAGAGAAACCAATGAGGTTGGAAAGGGTTTCAAACTTCAGATCTTGCTGCCAGAGGACCCTGGCTTAGCCAGGGCAGCTTCTCCACCTTGGTATCATGGGGTGCAAAGCTGGACAACAGAGTCACAGAAACTGTTCTAATGCTCTGGTAGTAGCCGTTACGGCTTCTACTCCATTAGAGGCCAGTTGTACCGTGACCCCAAAACCCATCTCTAAACACTGCTTCTGGCTGAGAACCACTATAAAAAACATATTAAAACATGGCTTCACTAACTTAAATATTTAATGAAAGAAGCTAAGTTTTAAAACTCCAAATTTTAAAAGTATTTTCTAATGATTCTTAGCTCATCGACTTTCTAAAGTACACTGTGACCATGCCTGCCTTACTAGGGCTCAGAGCTTATTTTCTTTCCATTAAAGGCCACATTGACAAAATATCACAGAATCTTCTGTTAAAATCAAAGAGAGCCACATCTTTTAAAACTCAGCTGTTTATCACTTTATCTTGTTTTCAAAAACGGCATATGACCTCATAGGGTACATAAATATTAACTCAAAGCAGATCAAAGACCTAAATGTAAAAACTGAAGCTATAAAATCCTTAGAAGGCGCTGTAGGCACCATGTGGACATAAATCTTCTGACTCTGAATTAGGCAACGGTTCCTTAGATATGACACAAAACAATGAGCAACAGAAGAAAAAAATAGATGGACTGGATGGACTTCTCCCAAATTAAAAACATTTGTGCTTCAAAGGACACTGGCAAAGGGGCTGACTGAGAAAAACGCCTGTGAATCCATACATATCTGATAAGAGTACAATATCCAGAATGCATGAATTTCTCTGGGGACTCAATAATAGAGGACCAAAAATAAATAAATAAATAAATGAATAAATAAATAAACGAACAATGTAAAGAATGGTCAAAGAAGCTGAATTGTTCTCAAAGAACATACAAAATTCTTGATCAGGGGCTGGAGAGATGGTTCAGTCAGTAAAACACTTGGTATGAAAGGGGGAGGAGCTGAGTTTGATCCCTAGGGTACACATGAGTCCTTGAGCACCTGCCATCCCTGGTGACTGGGAGGCAGAGATAGAATGGCTCCTGGAGCTTGCTGGCTGGCCATCTTGCCTAAGAGGAGAGTGCCAGGCTCAGTGGAGACCCTGCTGCAAAGGTCCTGTGGGAAGACGTGCTTATGAACAGCATTCATTAAACTGGGGAGGTATTAATAACAGAAATAAAAAGAGATGGAGTGAGAGGCACTAGGAGTAGTTAGAGGGAGGGAGTTGTGGATTAATGTCATGAATTCAGTTTGTATAAATGTATAGACCATCCACAGAACCAAATATATTGCTAAAAATTAAGGCAGAAAGCAAATGAGGACACCAGACATTGATCTCTAGTCACCACATGCACACGCATGAACATGTATACACATATACTCCCTACACGCAAAATACATAAGTTAAAGATTTTAATTATAAGACATTTTTGATTAGCTAGCTGTAGCAGCACATGCCTTCAATCCAAGCTGAAGCTGGAAGATAGAGAGTTTGAAGCACTCGGGGCTACACAGTGAGGCTCCATCCCAAATCAAGATAAAAACCTGTCTCAAAGATGTCCAGGAAGCTCATGAGGAGATACTCAGCACCACCAGCCACCAGGGAAACGTAACTCGCACTGGACAGGCACAGTCAAAAGCACAGATGATAACAAGTGTCGGCGGGAATGTGGTGGAACTGGAGCTCAGCTGCTGGCCAAGAATGTGAGATGCTATGGTCTCCTTGGAGAGCAGCCTGGCGGTTTCTGAAAAATGCTATACATAGAATTGCCATATGATCCAGAAACCACATTCAGAGATGGAAAAGAATTCAAACCATAGGCTAACCCCCAAACTTGTACACAGATAAACATAAAAACATGATTAGTAATGGTCCAAAGGATGGATCAAAAGGTGTTAAATTCCATTAACTGGTGGATGGATAAATAAAATATGGTAGATCTATGCTACTGAATACTGTTGAGCCATAAAAAGGAATAGAGTACCACAACATGGGTGAACCAGAAAGCATGCTAAGTGAAAGAAGCCAGGTACAAAAGCATTATGATATGCTGTGATTCATGGGATGTAAGCGGCAGCGCTTACGTACAGAGCTAGGGTCTCCTAATATGGCTGGTGGAAATGACGACCAGGTCTGCCTAGAGGAGTCTCAGCAAGACTGAAGCTGAGATAAGTTTACTGCAAGCAGACTTCTTAGTCTCTTATCAGAAACAAAATATAATGGCTGTCGCCAGGATCAATGCAATAGAGCTGTCAGGATACAACGGCATTTACAAGCTACACAGATTGTATAAGATGAATGACTAAGACTAACTGTTCTGTCAAGCCTCTACATGCTTCGCTGACTTCTAGGGAACACAGGCAGCCTGGATGCTTCACTAACTGAGGGAGTGCCTCAGTTTCTAAGGACTGAAAGACACGCTGTGCCCCAGGAGTCACATACTCTAAGCTGAAAAACC